TTATATCTTAATCACTTCAGGATCTACTACTTATTGATCCTTTCAGGATCTAGCAAAGCATTGATTACTTCGTGATCTAAAGAATCCAACCTAATACTGGAATATTCTTAAATGGTGAATTTTTGCCTAATATTAAACCTTTTTCTATTTTTTCATACGATTAGCTGTCGATGGTTTTTTAGTAGTTGCATCATAAACAATATAAGTAAATTTATTGTTGTTTTCAGTAATATTATTAAGTAAATGATATGTTTCTAAGCTTTATAATGCCATTTCATAATCTTTTTTTCCATCAAGTGGAATAGCTGGTAAAAACTTTCTTCTTATTGCTGAAGTAACTCCTCCAATACATAGATCCATTTTTATATATACATATTTATTTTTTATATCATTTTATAAATCTCTTTCAGAGACTCATAATTAGTAATATAAAAATTTAGCGAAGCATGGAGAAGTCTAGCGAAGAATGGAGAAGTCTACTTTACTTCTATGAGATGAAATTGTATTATTAATCTTTCTTTACTCGTATCTATAGCATGACGATCATCATCCACTATTTCAACTGTCATTTTTAAAAGTGTGTTTGTTCTTAATGGAAAATAACTTTTAAAATTTGGTACTTCAACAAGGCTCATACCTAAAGGACGAGTCATTGGTAAGAATGTATGCATTACACTAGTTTTTTTACCATTGATAATCTTACAATCAACAAGATCATTTAATATATGTAAGCATTTTGTTTGAGATGAAATGCTGTAGTGAATAGTTTCTAATCTTATAAATGCCATTTTGTATTTTTTTGTTTTATCAAGTTCAATAATAGAATCAAATTGAAATGTAGCGATATTTGATTTATATTTATGTACTTCAATATCTATTCTTTATATTTATAATAATTCTTATTTAAATTATTATAAATCATCTTACGAAGTATGAATTCTTTCAGGATCTAATTTCTTTACTTTATTTTTCATAAACAACTGCATCTGATAATTTGACTTGTATAGATTGAATCGTTGAGCCGATATAAACACCTTCAATTCTTAAACAACCGACAATATAACATCTTTTTTTAATAAGATTATCTCCTGAAATTTCATCATCATCTGCAGAACTAAATACAGTCTCCATCTTAAGATCGGTGGCAACCAATCCAGACTTCGTAACATCTTTACCTTCTGTTGATATTTTTGCAAAAATAACACGAGGTTTATTTTCATTACATTTTAGAATTTTTAAGTTGTCAGTATTAAAATTCTTCACTTAATTTTTTAATTGTTTTTCTATTATTTCATCTCTACAAAACTTCTCAATAGATTGAATCATTGCAATAAATTTTTATTCTTCTTCAGTCTTTCCTTTCTTTTCATTAAAGTGGAATTGTATATCCATTTCATTAAAGTGGAATTGTATAAAGTGGAATTGTATAACAAGTGGAATTGTATATCCAGTCAGTTTATTCGCTTTTGGATCTCTACTTTCACAAACTCCGTATGAAAATAATTTTGGTGTTTTAACTATTAGTGCTCTGCAAGTTTTATTATAACCAATTCTCATTTTTTGATAATGAACAGGTTTATAATGATCAAATAGTACATCAGCACATAATTTTGTCTCATCAAAATTTTTAATCTCTACATATGGCATTTTTTATATATACAAGAAAAATTATTTAAATCACTTTAATTTTTTATATTATTGTATTATTATGTTGTGAAATGATATAAATAAATAAGCAACTTTATAAAATGCATAAAATGTATCTAAATATTGAAAATAGTAAAATAAAAAAATAGATTTAATATATAATCAGAATTTAGATCATACTCCAAGTCATGTTAATAGTAAAAAATATAGAGTATTTGCACAGCAAGATTTTGTTTTAAAATCAAATTTATATAACAACATTTCTTTAAAGTGTAGAGTTAAAATAGATGAAGGGTATGTATCACTTGCATTTGCAGAAAAGTTTAAGCCATATTTAAACTTACTAAATTCTGTAGTAGCAGAGTCTACTGATGATATTGTAGTAACTTTATATAACAATAATGATAAAGAAAATAAAAAAAATTGAAAAAGGAAATTGTTTATTCTATATTTTATCTTATAATGGAATTATAAATATAATCAGTTATACATCTAATTCTTATGGAAATACTGGCAAATCATTGATCCCTTTGGGATCTAACGAAGCATTGATCTCTTCGGGATCTAGCAGAGCATCAATACCTTCGGGATCTAAAGAAGAGACTCCGTTAAATTTATATAATCAAGTATAGGAAATTTAATTATTGATAATATATGTAATCAAAATAATACTAAATCTAGTTCTTATGGAAATCCTAGCAGAGCATCGATCTCTTCGGGATCTAGCGAAGCATTAATCTCTTCGGTATCTAGCAGAGCATCGATCCCTTCAGGATCTAATATTCGTAAACATGATTTATTAAAATAAAACTTGTATGATAATAAAATAATTTAAAAGATATGTTTTCTTTATAAAAGGAATGGAATATAATAGGGACTATAATAACAAAGAATGTAATAATGAAGAATGTAAAAGTATTTATCCAGATCTTAGCCAGTTTAGAGTTGATCCAACTGCACCACCACTATCTATAGATCAGCGATATCGATTAGATAAGATAAGTAAAATTTAAAGTAAATTAGAATGTGAAAGAGAAAGAAGAGCTATGTTGAGTAAAAAGTATCATAGAGCTGTAAGAATCATTTCAGCAATTGATAATTTATTGCTAGCTACTACTATGACATTAGGAGCTGTTGGAGTTGGTTTTTTAGCAACTATTGTAGCAACTCCGGTGGCTATTGCATGCAAAGGAGCTGCATTAGGTATTAGTTTAATGTCGTTAATAGGATCCCAAGTTATTAAAAAATTAAACTTGAAAGAAAAAAATCATGAAATTATTAAAGTGATGGCTAATACAAAACTAAATTCTATAAGTGAAAAGATTTCCAAAGCTTTAATAGATAGTCATATTGATGACACAGAGTTTAAAATGATTATTACAGAGTTTTAAAATTTTCAAGACATGCTATAAAAGTTCAGATCAAAATCTAAATATGAAATAGATTAAAAGACTAAAGAGTCGTTAATAAATACGGGTAGAGAGAAAGCTATGAAAGAGGCGATGGAACTGTTAGAAAAAAGATTTGGTAAGAATCAAAATATAGGAATAATAAATACTTTAAAATAATTTATATTATTATAAAACATGATTTATGATTTTAAAACAACATGATTTATGATTGTAAAAAACATGATAACACGTTAAAAAAAATGTTATGTATATAAAAAATGTCGTTATTAGATATTGTAGATCCAAAAAATAGAAATGAAGCTTTTAAAGAGCTCGAAAGATTTAAAAAAAGTATATACCAAGATGCAGTAAATGAAGAGCTTGAATATGATGACTTACAGCATGACTTGGGTAATTTATAAAAACCTATTATCGATAGTAAATCTGGAATAAAAGAAAACCTAGTTAAATTAGAAAATAAAGCTGATTTAGCTATCTTTCTATCAAATTATCCTGCAATAATGGATACTAAATTTGAAACTAAATCTGATATGAAACCTGAAAGTAAAATAATTTCATTAGGAACTATAGCAACAAATTATTTGAAGTCAGCATATAGTAATAAAAAAAAGGCAGCAGGTTTTACATTTGTTATACACTCAAAAGATGAAAAACTGTATATAGGAAAAAAACCAATATTAATTAGTAATAATGATATAACTATTGATGATAAAAAATATATTGGAACTATTGGTCTTTGGGAATTGTTAACAAAATCTAGTCCTGATAAAAATATATATAATGATGATGATCTTGAAAGTTATAAAAATATATTTAAAGAAACAGATGCTATTTCTTCTAATAAATATCCAGGAAAACCTAGATCATCTAGAAGTGAAAAATATAAAGCCATTGCTAGTGATTTAGGAAAAAAAATAGATGCTGCAAAAGTAGCAGGTAAAGAACTAGCTACAAATGCAATCTCTACTGCTAAAGATATTATAATAGAAAAAGGAAAAAAGTTGATTAAAAAATCAAAGCTTAAACCTGAGAGTAAACAAGTACTTTCAAATTTAGTTGAATCTGGAGCTAATGATCTTGCTCAAAATCTATCTAATGAAGTCACAACAATAAATAAAATGATGATGGGATCTGCAATACCATCTAAAAAATTAAGCCATTCAAATGCTATTAAACTAGAAGAATTAGTAAAGACAGGAAGAGGATTAAAAATGGTATAATATTTTTTCTAAAATTTCATTAATAAAAATTAATGAAAATGAATTTAAAAAAATGTTATATATATAAAAATGGCAGATTATAAAAGTTTAAATTTAACATAGCAACCCTTTATTGATGAAAGTATTTCCAGATTTTAATTTCCAGAATATTCTCCAACAACTGGTACAAATTTAAATGATACAGTACCAATAAAAATTAATATTGAGATGACAGATTCATTTTTTCTTCCATCTAAAGCTTATATACAAGTTGAAGGAAGACTTCTAAAAGCAGATGGTGCATCCTATGCTTATGCAGATGTAGTTACACTTACACACAATGGAATTATGCATTTATTTAGTAGAATGGAATACGATTTATCAGGACAGAAAATAGAAGCAGTAGATAATTTAGGGCAAACAACTGCAATGTTAGGAATGCTCAAATATTCAAATGACTTCCAATTAGCAGAAGGATTAAATCAACTATGGTACAAAGATAATGCAGCAGATGCAAATTTGACTACTAATGTTGAATTTGCAACAAGGCAATCTTACATTATTAAAAAATCTAATACAAAAGGTACATTTTCATTTATTATACCTTTAAAGCATGTGTTTTTGGATTCTGCGATGATTATACTAAAGTACTTTAAGGATATAAACATACATTAATGATGCTATTTTTCGATCTGCTGCAGCAGCTATAGGAAAAGTATATCTTACAAAAGTATCATTATGGATGCCTTATATCACACCATCAGATACAGAGAGATTTAATTTTGATAGTGTTATTAGAGAAAAAGTAACAATTCCAGTAGCTTTTTATTCTAGATCGTGTGAAACTATAACTCCTCAACAAACAACTAAAATGACTTGGAAACTTGGTGTTAAATGTGATAAAAAACCTAGATATATTATCGTAGGATTCCAAATAAATAGAGATAATGATCAAACACAAAATTCTTCAATATTCGATCATTGTAATTTGACAAATATGCAAGTCATGATTAATAATGTAAGATTTCCTGAAGCTGATTATGAACTATCATTTCCAAATCAACAATTTTCAAGAGCTTATAGAGATGCATCTACTTTTAAAGAAAACTTTTATGGAACAAATGAAATCATATCAAATTGTAACATAACACCTTCAGACTATAAAGATTTGTATCCACTAATGGTTTTCGATTTAAGCAAACAATCAGAAAGATTAAAACCTTCAGATATTCAAATTATAGCATACTTTAGTGAAAATGTTCCAGAAGGAACTGAAGCATTCGCTGTTATCATATCAGAAAGATTAGGCAGACTAAAGTCTAATGGAGATAGATTTAACTTTGAATATTAGATCTCGAAGAGATCCAGATTTCATTAAAAAATAAATAAGCTGTATAGAAAAAAATGTAATTTGTTATAGAAAAGTAAAACAACAAAAATTAGATAAATAATTTTATTTTCTGTATAAAAAAGAAAATAATAGAAAAATATAAAACTTTTTTTTGAAAATGACATAAATAAATTTCTTGACATAATAAAAAGAATGGGAAACGAAATGGGAAACGAATTATTTTATGAAAGTGATGATAGTAAAGATGAACGCAAAGTAGTGATTGAAATAGAACGCAAAGTAGTGATTGAAATAGATGAATGTGATGAAAGTGAATATGAAAGCGGAGAGAGTGATTTAGATGATTCTGAATGTGAAACAGAATATGAAGAATAAATTGCTTGCAAAAGAGATGAAAAAAGAAGAAAACTATAAGAAAAAATGGAAAAAAGTTTTATAAGACAAGGAATAGCAGTAACAAGACAAAGATTAAATGATTGTATAATAAACGAAAAAAAAAGATTAAGAAAAAAAATAATATTAAGAAGAGAAAGAAATACAACATATGACGAAAGAATGGAAAGAGAGAGAGATTAGTTTCATGAAAAATGGAATGTAATAATATTACAAGATGGAATATAAGAATTTTATTGAAGATATTATAAAGAAGAAGATTAGAAGAAAAGATTTAAAAATTTAAAAAATTTAAAAAATATACAAGAAAAACATAACAATTTAAATTATTTGAAAGTACTTTAAATTAATTTTCTTTATATAATAAAAATGAGTGATGAAATAAAATGTACAAAAAAGTATTTATTAAAAATTTTTATAGACTTTTTATATCTATAAAAATATGAAAAGAAATTTTTTAGTTTTTTTATTTTAATTTCTTTACAAGAAAAAAATGAAAATTCGATAAAATGATATAAATTCGATAAAATTATATAAATAATTTTCTTGTATTTATAAAAATGGAAATTAACAGAATTGAAACAAATTGCAAGAGATCGAAAAATCAAGTACTATTATAGAATGAGAAAAGCAGATCTTATAAAACAATTATCTCAAAATGAATAAAGATTACACATTTTAGACGAACCGATTCCAGAACATATTGCACAAAATGCTCTAACACCTTCTCAGTATGTTTCAAGTAGATATATTAATATTGTTAATAATAAAGTGAATTCATTTGCTAATTGAATTATGTCCTATGTTCCTGAACCCATTAAAAAGACTGAAAATGAGAAAATTACATCAATAACATCTATTGTTTCTAATTTGTATAAAAGATTTGGAGTTAGAAAACCAATAGATTTTAAATTGACACAATCAGCTATTAAAAATGTGACAAAGCAATCTTCAGCTAAAGGTGTTGAAGGATATGATGCTTTGTCCTTTATGAAATCAGTTAAAAATAATGTCAATAAAGTACTGAATAGCAATAAAGGATCAAAGATCTATATCGTTCTTTCATGTAAAATGGAGCGTGTTGATCCTAAAACAGGAGAAACTATAAGAACTATTGCAACTTTTTCAACAAAAGCAGAAGTTGTTTTAGAATCGACAGATTTAAATGACTTTTATGAAAGAGCTGCAAATAAAATTTTAGAATCCTTGTCCACATTTCAACAGATGGGATCAAGTTGGAGATTTGTATCAGTTGAGAAGATGGATATTAGTATCATTGAATATAAACCCATTAAAGGTAAATCTTACATTCCTCTTCCTAAAGAGTTGGCAACTAAAAAAGCGATCATTAATATTAAAAATGAAGACAAATCAAATAGATTTATTACTCATTTCAAATGATGAAACTAATCATTATTGCTTAATAAAAAGTTTAAACAGATTACTTACATCACAAACATCTAACCATAAATGTACTGTACACTATTGTAGAAATTGCTTATTAGGATTTAGTGCTGAAGAATCTTTATCAAAGCATAAATTGTATTGTGATACTCACGATTCAGTACGTATTGAACTTCCAGAGCTTAATACAATGATAGAATTTGAAAATTATTACAAGACAATGAGAGTACCCTTTGTATTCTATGCTGACTTTGAAAGTATTATTACACCTATCAACACTTGCACACCCAATCCAAATGAATCTTATACAAAACAATATCGAAGACATACACCTAGTTCATTCTGCTTTTATATTAAATGCTTTGATGAAAGTATTGAGAAAACTATTGGTCATAGCATACTTGCTACATTCACTGCAGATAGTGAAGATGATGATGTAGCACAAATTTTTGTTGATAATTTAGAAGCTGATATTAAAAAGATTTATAACACTTATTTAAAATTTCCAAAAAAAGATAGTATTTACTACTGAAGAAAATTTTAATAATGCAAAAGTATTCCACATTTGTGAAAAAGATCTTAAAGAAGACAAAGTACGTGATCATTGTCATATTACTGGTAAATATAGAGGTGCTGCTTATAATGATTGTAATTTAAATTATAAAATTTCAAATTTCATATCTGTCTTTTTTCATAATTTAACTGGTTATGACTCTCATTTATTCATGAAGAAATTATCATCAGATGGAAAAATAAATTGTATACCTAACAATGAAGAAAAGTATATTAACTTTTCTAAAGAAATTAAAGTTAATGAATATACTAATAAAAAAAGGAAAAAATATTGAAGTTAAAAAAGAAATACGTTTTATCGATAGTTATAGATTTATGGCTTCTAGTTTAGATGAATTAGTAAAAATTCAACAAAAGGAAAATATAAAGAATTGTCAAATAAAAAATTAAATTTATTGTTAAGAAAAGGTGTTTATCCATATGAATGGGTTGACTCTATTAGTAAATTAAATCAAACGCAATTAACACCAAAAGAATCATTTTATTCAAGATTAAATGATGAAGGAATAAGTGATGCAGATTATTTACATGCTCAAACTGTATGGAATGAGTTTAATTGTAAAACATTTAGAGATTACCATAATTTATACAATGTTTCAGATGTATTATTATTAGCTCATGTCTTTAAAAATTTTAGAGATCTTTATATGAAAAACTAAAATTAGATCCTGCTTGGTATTACACATCACCAGGGCTAGCTTGGGATGCAGCATTGTTAATATCTAAAGTAAAATTAGAGTTGCTAAGCAATTATGATATGATCTTAATAATAAAGCAAGGAATAAGAGGTGGAATTAGTATGGTTTCTAACAGGCTAGGAACTGCTAACAATAAATATATGGAAACCTATGATGAAAGTAAAGAATCTACTTATAAACAATATTTAGATGCTAATAATTTATACGGATGGGCTATGAGTAAACCACTTCCTACACATGGGTTTCAATGGATGAGTGAGGAAGAATTAAAAAATTAGAAATCTATTTCTTGTATATTAGAAGTAGATTTAGAATATCCTGAACATTTACATGATGCTCATAATGATTATCTACTTGCTCCTGAAAGAATAAAAACAGACAAAGTTGAAAAATTAGTACCTAATTTAAATAACAAGAAAAATTATATCATCCACTATGAAAACTTGAAATTGTATGAAAGATTAGGATTGAAATTGACTAAAATTCACAGAGGAACAAAGTTTGAAGAGAGTGCATGGCTAAGTAAGTGCATTGAGCTCAATACAAATTTGAGAACTAAAGCTACTAATGACTTTGAAAAAGACTTTTTTAAACTCATGAATAATTCATTATTTGAAAAAACAATGGAGAATATTGAAAACAGAGTAGATGTTAGATTAATCACTAAAAGAGAAGAACCTATTAAATTAGCATCAAAACCAAACTATGAGAATAGGACTATATTTGATAAAAACTTGATAGCAATACATATGAAGAGAACAAAATTATTATATAACAAACCCATTTACTTGTGTATGTGTATTTTAGATTTGAGTAAGACATTGATGTATGAATTTCATTATGATTACATCAAAAGTAAATATGGAAATAAAGCAAAAATGTTATTCACAGACACATTTTCTTTAGCATATGAAATAAAAACAAAAGACTTTTATTCAGATATTAAAAACGATTTTGAAAGTAAATTCGATACGAGTGAATTTGACAAAAACCATCCAGCTGCTCAAAATGGATTTACAGTAGGGCTAAATAAGAAAGAATTAGGAAAGTTTAAAGAGAATGCTGGAGGAGCACAAATTAAAGAATTTGTAGGTCTAAGATCAAAATTGTATTCATACAAAGTACATGGAGAAGATAAAAAAAAATGTAAAGGAGTGAAGAAAAATGTTGTTAAAAAATATATAACACATGAAGATTACAAAGACTGCCTTATGAATAGAAAAGATCAAATGAGAAAAATTAATGTCATAAGATCTCATTTACATGATGTTTATACAGAAGAAATTAATAAAATAGCACTCAGTGCAGAAGACGACAAAAAAATTATTTTAGAAGATAGAATTCATACATTGGCGTATGGTCATTATAAATTAACTCTTAAAGAAGATAGTACTAACGAAGTCGCTGAGTCTCCTAAACCCAACTTTTCATTTTAGATTGATTGGAATGAAAGTGATTGTATTGATATAGTAAAACCTAACTTTTTACTTCATATTGATTGGAAATAAACAAGCACAGGCAGGCAAACACAACGAAGTCGACGAGTCTCAAATGAGATAAAAAACAGGTAAGTAATTTTTCTATAAAAAGAATCTAAAACTATTAATAAAAATGGAAAAACTAATCAGTGTTGAAGGAATCATTTTACCAAATGAACCGCTAACAAACTTTCAATTAATAAAAGCAGCAAAAAACTTAAAAATAAAAAATTTTTGAGGTGTATTTGTTAAAGATGAATTACCAAAATATACACAAAAAAAAGAATGTGGAATATTAAATACTGGAGATTCAAGTACAAATGGATTTTATTAATTTGGCTGGTATAAACACGGAGATAAGAAACTAATTTTCGACTTTTATGGACTACCACCACCAGTTGAACTTGTTCAATACTTACAAAGTCCTGTTTACTATAATACTGAACGAGTACAA